GCTCTTTGTCACTTTCCTTATTGGCCTTTCCTTGGGAGGGTATGTGAGGAGAGTGTGTGTCATTAATTCAGATGGCATATAGGACACCAGTGAGAATGGAATAGTCTCTCATTCTCATTTATGGTACTGGCTTAGCCTCACTAAAACAAGGGCTTCAGGTGGGGCTTCCATAACAGAGTTCCCCTTGTCCCTGCAGATGGACTATGCTTAACAATTATGCTAAGATTCTCACCTCCTCTTGCCCAGTCTCCTGGAAAGAGCTCAAGTCACCCCTGTCTCTCAAAGTCACAATGGAGAGACAGAACAAAAGCTTTTAATCCATACTGGCATGAAACCTGTACTTTTTTTTTTTTTTTTTTGATGGCTGAGTTAATATGGCAACAACCTAAAAGCCAATAAAACTTGCAAAAATTATCAAGAATTACTAAAATTTTGTGATTAATGAATATGTCATGAATCAATCAAAACCCTAATCTGGATTACAATGAAAAGGTAAGATTTCAATTTGTTATTCACAAAATTAGTATATTTGTCTGTTTCTGCTGCTTATAACAAAATACCTGAAACTAGATGATTTAGAAAGAAAACGAAATTTGCTTACAGTTTCAGAGGCTCGGAAGTCCAAAGTCCAGCGAACACAGCTGGTGAAGGCCTTGGTGGTAGCATCAGTGACCCAGGGATCTCACTTGGCAGAAAATGGTGGAGCAGAGAGAGCAATAGTTCCTCATTCTCTCTCCTTTTAAAGCCCTCAGAACCATACCCATGACCACCAATTTTTATCCATTTACTAGGGCATGGTCCTACAATCTAATCACCTCTTCAAAGCCCCACCTTTCAATTACTATAATAGTATTTCCTACCCTCAACAGTTTCAGTGGGAATTAAGCTTCTCATATATGAACTTTGGGGACATAATTCAATCAATCAACAGCAATTAGTCATCCTTTTCTCTTAGAATCTTTTTGCACAAATCTGCTTTCTCTCACTTATCTCTTCAGCAAATCAAAAATTATTAACCACCTCCTGTAAGTCAGGCCAGTCAGTACATGGCACCAGAGAGGTGCATTTCCTGCTATAACCCCACCCCAGGGGCTCGCAATCTACAAACACGCAAACCAAAAAATTATAACATTTTCAGAAATATTCTGTCAAATATATGGAAAAGCCATCATGGAAACATAGGAGAAGGGTGGTCTTAGAAGTTATCTGTCTTGTTCTTCCATAGCATTTATATTTGCAGTCACCCCTGTCTCAGAAACAGACACAGAAGAATTACATAACTAACTCATTTTAACAACTTTTGAATTCAAAGAAATCAGATTGGAGAAATGCAGTAAAATATTCATTGAAGCAAATATATGATGAAATCTGTAGAACTTCAGTGCTGGGAGAAACTTCAAAGTCTATTTACTAACATTCTTATATTACTGCAGTCCAGAAAGTTTAAATGACTTCCCCAAGATTGCACATCTAGTTGTTGGTGGCTCAGGAATGAGAATTCCAAGGCCTTAAAAATGCATAGAATCCCCCCTCAAAAAATCAGTGTAGATTAATCAATATAGTTTTCTTTCATAAAACTATTTACTAATTTTTACTTTTTAAAAAAATATCTCATTTTAATTTTTGAAACCTCAAACATATTACTTGGTCATTGTAAGAAGTAAAAGCCCAAATACGTGTAATCAGTATTAACAGCCTTATATGCATCCTTCCATGCCTTTCTCTATGTGCTCACATAAGCATTTTATAATCTTGCTTTTAATGGGTTAGTTTCCCTGGTGAATTTAAAACATTGTTTCCTTGCAACTTAATTTTTCATAGATCCAGTCATTGTATGGAAATGGGTGTACCTATCTTTCTATTAAATCTTTACATGTGCCAAGTATTCTTGTTCTGGATCTTAAGCTCCTTGAGGCCAAGAGTAGTTAATTAGTTAGGAGTAAGTTCAGAAAACTCAAAATAACTGTGGCTTGGACAGGATAGAAGTTGATTTCTCTCATGTGAGAAGTCTAGAGCCCTAGTGGGTTCCACAGCTATGGTTCCACAGTTACAGTGCATCTCAGTGTCAGGGACCAAGGCTTTGTCTGTCTTGCTGCTCTGCTATCCCCTTAGTATGCTTCCTTACAGTCCAAAGTGGCTGTTTGAAACCAGTCATTACATCTGCATTCTACACAGCAGGAAGGAAAAAAGGAATATGTTCTCACAGTTAAATAGACTTTCGAAAGCCACACATGTCACTTCCACTTATATCTCCTTGGTCCTACTAACTCACGGCCTCTACACTGGCAGGAAAACTGGCAGTGTCTCCTTTGGTTGGACATATTGCTGCTCCAAATGAATTCAGGGTTCTGTTACTAAGCGTCTTAGTCTATTCAGCTTGCTATAACAAAATATCTTAGACTGGGTAACTTATAAACAACAGAAATTTATTGCTCACAGTCTGGAGGCTGGAAAGTCCAAGATCGAGGCACCAACAATTTCAGTGTGTGATAAGGACTCAAGTTTTGGTTTATACATGGTACCTTCTAGCTGTGTCCTCACCAGGTGAAAGGGATGAGGGTTTCTCTGGGGACTCTTTCATAAGGGCACTAATCTCATTCATGAGGGCTCGACACTCATGACTTAATTACTTCTCAAAGTCTACCGCCTAAAACTATCACATTGGAGGTTAGGATTTCAACATAGGAATTTGAGGGCAACACAAACATTCAGACCATAGCATTAAGAATGGAAGTTGGATTAGACAACTCATCGTTTCTACTACAGATTTATGAATAAGATTCCCGTGCGTAGAAAAAAAAAAAAAAATGCACTATACTTGTTCGCTATAGGCATCCTCTTGGTTTCTTCTGTTTTTATATTTTTTACTTTTCTTATGTTCACTGACAACCTGTCGATGGCCCTTCCCTCCTAATGGTGCTATGTGCACTTTCCCTTTCTTCTAATTCATATGTCCTTGTTCATTCCCCTCCTGTATTTCTTTCATGCTTCCAGGTGTCCAAGACTATGGTGGGGAGGGAGAACCTCGAATTTAATACCATGTACCAAATAGGATTGTTCACGTATCATCACTAATTGCTGACCAATTGACAGAGCATTGAGAAAAGAATGATGAATGATTTCTCACAAAAAGAAAGCTGATGGGCAATTTAATAATCATTATCTAATGCCAAACACTAAGTAATCATAGGAGGTGGGTAAGTTGGAACAATTTCCTGAGAACTGAGCAGCCCTGGAATAGTGGAATCAGGAAGAGAATACACTAGTGATCTCTGGGGTCCCTTTTGTGAGTAAACCATAACAGCATCTTCCAAGGACTGTAATAATAGTGTTATGGCCAACGTCCGACGGGTAAAAGAAATCTGCCCACAGAACCGGGTGATAGGAAAGGGAAAAAAGTTTATTTCTGGCAGCCAGGGCTATGCAGGCCAATCGAGAAGCGCAGCCCCGAGTTGAAACCTCTCGCAGCTTTTATTTTTAGCTAGGCGGGAATTTTTCACACCTGACACAATCTAGCCAATGCAAGCAAGCCAGCGATACATAAGCTAATTTTGTGGGTAGCCCTGTAGCCCATCCCCACCCTGGCTTCCCAGGACTTTCCAGGCTAAAATGGCAGAGCCGCCTAAAATGGCGCTGGCCATGCTACTCTGTTTATTCCCCCATTTATTTTAGCAAGCGACTTGTACAGAAGCAGAATGCATATGTTAAGGTCAGTAGGGGTTGGGCGTCCCTTAACAATAGTGGTGAGAGCAGTTCTTTCTTATAGCTTTACAGAATGGTTATTCTGTGAGTGGATGATTCCTTCATTGATAAAACAAACATTGAATGTCTAATAGAATCTTTGTCAAGATCTGAGTTTACAAAGGGAAACACAATATGGTCTTGCTCTTCAAGGATTTCACAGGCTATGAAAGAAGAAAAGCATGTACACAGTAGATCAAGGTTTGTTGTGATGAGTTCTACATTTATTTGAGCCAAAGGCTCAGGGATTCAGAGGGAAGAGAACTATTAATCCTGG